GAGGGTTTAGGGTTAAGGGGTTCCAGGGTCGGGGTTTAGGGTTTAGGGTTTAGGGTTCAGGGTTAAGGGGTTCCAGGGTCGGGGTTTAGGGTTTAGGGTTTAGGGTTTAGGGTTCAGGGTTAAGGGATTCCAGGGTCGGGGTTTAGGGTTTAGGGTTTAGGGTTTTTCAGGGATTCCAGGGTCGGGGACGGGTTTAGGGTTTAGGGCTTAGGGAGTATTATAGGGACCTTCCCGATGAAGGGCCTAAACCCTACAAGCCTGCACTCGCACAGCAAACCGCTGAAACCCTAACCCCAGCACCCTGCAGATCCGATCCCTCATTCTTTGTATAGGTTTAGGTTTAGGGTTGAAACAGCGTGCATACTGCGGCTCGCGGCTGAGGGTATCTAGTGTACGTAGCCTGACTGACAAATCCAGGCATTAGGTGTTTTCAAAGCTTCATATCACTTACAGGTTAAACGTGCAGGCCAGCCTAAACAACACACACCCTAAACCCAAACCCCAAAACCCTTCAAAAGCTAGGTATTGCAGGCTGAAAAGTGGGAAACATCTTCTATGAAGCTTTTAGCTCAAGCCGTTCGGGATCCTATAGGGTTTAGGGTTTAGACCCTACCCCGAAACCCTAACCCCAAACCCCTAAACCCTAAACCCCTAAACCCGAACCCCAAACTTTAAACCCTAAGCCCTAAAACCCTAAACCCCAACCCCAAACGCTAAACTTTAAGTCAAGCAGGAGGAGAGATCCGGCCTTCAGGCCATGTGCTAAGCCGTGGACGAAACCTGAGAAAAGAGATGGCAACGACGGTTTAGGGTTTAGGATTAAGGGTTTAGGGTTTAGGGTTTTTTTTTTTTTAATGGGCCCTTTTCCAACTGCAGAACAGTTTAGAATTCCTTACCAAGGGTCTGGGGTTTAGCCCTATTAGGGATCCCTCCTAAAGTCCTTAGAGAGATGGCAAAGCGCTCCCATCAATGGCCCTTCCGGGGTCTTCTAGAGGCTCCTATAAGGGATCCTTTAAGGGTTCTTTTCAGGGGCTCCCAAAGGAGGGGCTCTTCAAACTTCATATAAAGGCCCCTAAGCGGTAATTATGCTTTATGGGGGGCTCCGAGAATGAGGGGTACCTTATTTTGGGGTCCTTATAATAAGGATCCTATTATTTGGGGTACCATATTTCGGTCCCCTATTTTCGGAAACCTCTATATGCTTCAGGGGGTTTAGGGTTTAGGGTTTAGGGTTTTAGGGTTTAGGGTTTAGGGTTTAGGGTTTAGGGTTTAGGGCTGGAGTTTAGGATGATGCATGGAACCGACTCCAAGAGCAGACGACTGAATCACTGAACCTTCGCACAGCACCCACAGCGTCGAGCCACTACGAGGGTTTAGGGTTTAGGGTTTAGGGTTTAGGGTTTGTCTTCTTCTGACAAGGCTTGCACGTAATTATTCCAACTGTTCTGGCAGTACAGGGTGGAGGGCCCTTATGTGATGCCCTATAAAAAGCCGAAACCCCAGCCAAAACCCTGCTTGTTCAGTTAAGCCTAGCAGCTGTTCTCCATCCGCGAATGTATAGACACCTTGGATCCATGTGGGTACTTCTCTAAATGAAGGTCCCTTCTTAAGGTCCCAAGACTCATACGGCACCCATATATAAAAAGACCCTAAGGGGAGTCCCCACTTGCAGGCCTCTTCTATTCAGGATCCTACTACATTGCAGGATCTTTGTGGGGAGCTCCCATCGAAACCCTACATCCTAAACACAGTCCATGTGCGAGGTGGCACAAAAGTCCACTGTAACACCGCGTGTCTTTCTTTAAAACCACCATTTGAGTTGCCCCTAAACCCTTAACCCTGAACCCTAAACCCTAAACCCTAAACCACCCGGAACCCTGAACCCTAAGGCCTGAACTGCCTTAAGCTCTCCTGATAGTTTCCATCCGGGTGTCTTTTTGGTGGGAGCCCTTTGAAGCCCCAGGTGAATGTGTAAATAGTTCTCTAAGTTAGGGTCCCTTTTAAGGTCCTTTTTGTCAAGGTGCCGTACTTTTTGGGAAATTAGGACCGTACTTTAGAGAAGTACCCAATATTTATCTAGGTACATGGAGGACCAGTAAGGGCTACGGCTACGTAGGTTCATCAAACGTTGTCCAAGTCCCGTTTCACTAAACATCCGCAACCGGCCCCAAAAGACATGAAGCCCAATCAGGTACGTAGGGGGACATCACCGGAAAATGCCTGCGCTTATCTTTTTCTTGGGCCCCAACAGAGGACAAATGTGGGACAAAACACCGAAACCGCAAACCCTATTAGGGTTTAGGGTTTAGGGTTTAGGGGTTTAGGGTTTAGGGGTTTAGGGTAAACCTTAAAACCGTAAAGTGGAGAAACCCTAAGAGGACAAAGGCGCGAGATGGGAGTTCAGATCGCGGCAGGTCGCTTCCGCCTCGTTCCAGCGAGCCAGAGAGCTAGTTTTTCTGCGGGAAAGGGGGCTGTTTAGAGTTGAGTTCATGGGTTTTGGGTTTGGGGTTTTGGTTAGGGTTTAGGGTCTGGAGCTTAGGGGTTTAGGGTTTAGGGCTAGGTTTTAGGGGTTTGGGGTTCAGCGATTTGGGCCAAAGAGGATTTAGGTGTCGGAATTGGTTCAAGGTCGGTGGGGGCTCCGGATTCAAGTGTGACTCATGCCTTTTGTTTCAACCCTAAACCCTAAACCCTTTTGGGTGCGGGAGGTTAGGGTTCGAGGAGCGGTGGGACAGGGACTGTAAGGCTCTCCGTTCGGTGTGCGCAAAGGCGGCCCGAGTGTGGACAACGGCTCGTAGCGATGCCGAAAATGCTGATTGGTTACAAAGTAGGCAGAGGAGGTCTAGACAAAATCACACTAACCGTCACAGTTGTTGGGTTTTTTTCAATCGGAGAAAATGTTTAGGAATCTTACACCGCAAACCCTAAACGGAACACAACAACACTACAGACACAAGGAGAAGACACCCTGAAAGCATTCTATCCCCAACAAGATGGTCGTATGACCTATGTATCTAAGGGCTTTAGGAGGGACCCTTAATAGGGACCCTTGTAGGTTATTGGGGCTAATATGAAGACTACCTGGCTATATAAGGGGTATATAAGGACTATACAATGGTTATTTAAGGTAATGGGATTAAGGGTCCCTACTGGGGGTCCCTCCTAAAGTCCTTAGGATAAACCCTAAACCCTAAACCCTAAACCCTAAACCCTAAACCCTAAATGTATCTCCATTGAGGCCCGTCTCGTCGCCTCGGCCCAGGTTTTCATGTCCTGGGCTCTCTGATGGTGTGGGGAGTTCTGGCTCTACCGGCGTTCCGTAGAAAATCCTTCATTTAGGGTTTAGGGTTTAGGGTTTAGGGTTTAGGGTTTAGGGTTTAGGGTTTGGGGTTTAGGGTTTAGGGTTTAGGGTTTAGGGTTTAGGGACCCTAAACCCTAAACTCTAATAAGGGTCCAAGTACCCATTAGTTAAGAACTTTGGGGCCTTTTTGGGTACCAGAAACCATAAACAAGGACGACTTGGACCTTCAGGTCAATGTAAACCAAAATAGGAGCTACAATGGAGACTAAGCAGGGGTTCGTTATTGCTCTGGCCCGAGGTATTAGGACGGACTTCTGGATGTATACCCATAGGCCCCATAGTAGTTCCTCTTTGTGGTTAGTATTTAGGACCCTATTAGGGAATCCCCAAAAAGGAACTACTATGGGTCCTATGGGTAGTTACAGGCATGTGCATCTTTGGCTCTGCGTTGAAGATATGGCTCAAAGCCGCTAAGATTGATGAGTCCTGCAGCTCCAAGTTGCTGTTTGCGCTTACCTCATCTTCACACATCTTCACCGTCGAAGTTTCAACAACCTCTCTGGCGAATCAACATGGAGTTCAGGAGTCAGGGTCCTGAATGAGTTTCTGATTAATACGCACTCGGGTCATGACCGTCGTTGGCAAGCAGAACCTGTGTTAAGCTAGTACCATGTGAAGTACATTCAGGAAATATATCACGGCCTTTCACCAGAAATTGATATGGCCTCGATCCCTGTCTGTTTATGATGTTCAAGTCAGGTTGCCAAGAGTAGCAGTCCCAGAAAACTGTGTTTTAGAGCAAAGCAGCAACATGATCTTCACCATCACCATCACCATGACAAGATTGAACCCGAGCGCAAACATAACGGTGAGAATCAATACCCAACATAGTATAATCGCAACAACGACGACTCTAACGACGACAGCTACAACAGCTGGGACGATGAGGACACCAGCATCAGCACCACTAGAACAAACCACCACCATTTAGGGTTGAGGGCTTTAGGGTTTAGGGTACACAACAGACCACCACCACCGTTGCAAGTGAAGCACCAGCAGAACTACAACACTAATTACTTACAGCCTCAACACCAAGACGGCCACTTGCACCAACAAGACCGGAAGCAACCGGATAAGCAAAACAAGAACAACTACAACAGCCACAGCAAAGTGCAACAGCCGCAGTCTTGGTTAAAGCTTCGCAGCAATGTTAAGCGTCTTTTATACATCTTATTACATGCGAAACAGAGTCCCTAAACCCTAAACCCTAAACCCTATTCCTCGAACTGGCAGGGAGTCGATGAAG